ATTCCGATCAAAATTTCTTAACCTTCTGATAGAACAAGGAAATCGAGGAACAGAAGCCGGATAAACGCAACTTTTTGGCAAACATTATCTTATCAGTTTTCTTTTCAAACTAGTACAACACTGGCTTTTTCTTTGGAAAAGGAAGTAAAGTTTGTGAACTGTTTATGACGGCGATGCGTGCGTGTCCTGGGGTGCTTGTTGGAAATTCAATACTCTACAGCACTTAAAAGGCACTTAAAAAATTGGCCTGGCTCGTAATGTTTGTGTTTTCTTACCTGGATATGTTGTCCGATGTAACGCCGTTCATTACATTTTTATACCAGCACTCCAATACGTGTTACCAACTGGCAGCCTGTATGGTGAAGCCCCCATTTTGCATATCCTCTGTGACCACACAATATTGGCCCCTCCTCTCCCCTCCCCCTTAGCCTACCATTATGGTTGAGTGCTTGGGTGAATGCTGTAATATTTGCATTGTTTCATTCCCTCAGATGTTGAAAATGGTGTTAGCGACCTCTTGGTCATAATACCCTTTTAGAGGCATAGATACGCCAGTGTATTCGTTCGACTCTTACTGATTTTATTTTTGTTTTTAAAAATCTGACTACCAGTATGCCATAGGGTAGGCCACAGGGTAGGCCATAGGGTAGGCCATGGCCTACCCTACGTTTTGTTCACATCCTTGCAATTGGCGCTCGCTTCAGTGTTCAGGATCAATGGGTTGATTGACACAATTTCATTTCTTGCCGTTTGGAATGTTTTGTCTTTCTGCACTTGCAGCCAGCGAGTCTTAAACAAACTTGAACTACTGGTAACTTGCGTATAATGTTTCTCTTCCCTTTTCGGGCAATTTGGTGAACATTGATTGATGAACAGGTATCTTACATATAAGATTTTTTTTTATTGCACTTGCATGCGATTTTTGGTGAATTTTATGTGTGTTTATAGGTTAACGTATATCTGGGTGGTTCTGCATCCTACTCTCTACCTACTAGGAATTGTCTCAAACTATTATCAAGCATTTATGACCTTGACCTTTTTTAAGTCAAACACCCATAATCCAAACATAAACCCTGATTGTAATGTTTTGCGCTATCAAATCCATTGCAAATACTATTCTCCTTAAAAATATGCAGAATTTACCAAAAAACTTGAATGAGAAAATTGTTTATCTTTCCTTCACAATAATATCAAGAGCCTGAGTGAGAATCTTGAAGACTTCTGAAATAATTTGCCTCATGAGTTAGAATTAAATATAAGTATAACTGGTTTAACTGAGATACATAAATTACAAGCAGAAATTATCTTACTTTCAAACTAAATATCCCTGGGTATTTCTTTTAAGTATGTTCCAATGCCTCTTTCTGCAGGGGGTGTTGCAATCTATATAAATGATCATAATTTTCAATTATAGTCTTAGAAAAAACTTTCAATGTATCAATCTATAATCAAGCAATGTGGATTAAAATTCAGTTTTCAAAAAGAAAAAAAATGTTAAATGTGGAATTTTGTACAGACAACATAATTCTCCTGAGAAGTTTCAACAGTATTTTGATTTAGCTGTTAAGAATATAGTACTTTTGACATGCTTTTTCAAAAACGAGTGCAAGGGTTTCATCAGGGTTTCCAAACACGAAAAAGCTGATGAAAGCATGAGGCTGCAGACCAAATGCTTTTGTTGTTTTTGAGCTGCAGATTTCCTAATAATTTTCTGCTTTCTTTGCAAAGTTATGCCATTACTCCTGTGATTGATAAACCAGCTAGGATACATAGTGGCTCAGCAACTCTCATAGATAATATCCTCATTAATCAGGTGGTAATATTATGAGTATCATATGTAAGCTTTATTTTATTCATCCCTTTACAGCTAACCTTAATTATGCAAAGCAAATTTGGCAAGGAATAAATTCCTTAATAAATAAAAGTAAGAATAACTCTAAACGCAATACATATATACTGGTATCTTCTGTTAAGGGATCTTGAGGACAGAAATGTTTCAACTGACCCAGTTTATTCCGCATGGGTATATCCAATGCGTTAAACTCAAACTTTGCATTAGTGGGACCTAAGTTAGCATCAGCAATGCCACTCTGTAATCTAAGCAAGATTTCTAAAATGTCTACCAACCTTTCTGCCTCCTAATTTTCCTTTGATTCATTCACACATGATGAAATACAATGTGAAATCTTGTCACTGCAGATAACTAAGGCCCATATTGGATTGTACTCATTTCAAGTCAAAATCTTCAAATATAGTAGATCTGTCAAACCCACTAGCAAGTATTATGAATTTATCCATTGAAAAAGATACTTATCCATCAAAGTTAAAACATGCTAAGATAGTTCCTGATGGTGTTGAACATGATCATAGAAACTAACATTAACAGACATTTTTAAAAAATGGTATATAATAGGATTAATAATTTTTACTATCAAGCTAAAATTTTATGTCCATCCCAATGTGGGTTTTGTAAACATTGCTCTACAGAACATATGCACTATCAGATATTGTTGGCAAAATACAAAAATAAATGGCCAAAAAATTATTTCCTTGTGACATTTTTATTAATTTATGAAAAGCTTTTGACACTTTTGGCGACAATATTTTGCTCTGTAAATTACATCATTATGAAATACAAGGTATCATGACTCTCCACATGTCTAACAGGGAGATTCCAATCCACAAAGCAAATTGAAACCAGATCTCGAAAAAGGTGGTGGTAGCACTTATGTGGTGTACCTCATGGATCTTTTCTTAGTCCACAATTATTGTTATAATTGTATATTATATGTCTTGCCTGTTGTAATATTGAAACCTTTGGGGATCCCCTCAGGGACCCCTGAATGACTTCACGGGCACCCTGAACACGGGAAGCCATGTGCGCATTAGACGATCGAACTTTATAGTTAGCGGGAATTGAAAAGCTCAGTTTATTGTTGATTTTTGGCTGAATGACATTATAACATTGCCTTCTTCAAGTAAATTTGAGTTCTGCCTTCTTGCAGATGACACCAATTTTTCCTGTAAAGATAAACCATTACCATTATAGGAATGGTTTTCAAGGAAAAGTTCACCAATATCTTTCTGCTCTTGACCCAATATAAATACTTTTTATCACAAAATCATGAAGAAGTCAGCCTCTTTCTTGAATTGGTTTGGTACAGTATATATATGTGTACATGGATATGTCTGATAGGTGTAACGCATTTTGTATGGGCCCACTGGCTGGTTTGGAAGTAAATAGGGAGTACTGTGACCCCTTAGCAGCCAGACAGATGAAATTGCACATCTAGTATTTAATTTCCAACCATTTTATGGTATTTTTGCAGAAATAAACTAGTTGATTTTGGTATTGACACTTTCCTTGAATGTGCTCCTAACCATTCTCTGTTTTGGAGAACTACCAGAATAATAAAAGGCCACCATATGTTTGTTAAAGAGATATGATGGGCCAATCTTACCCCATTTTGGTTAGTCAGTTGGTAAAAAGATCAATGGCAGTGTGAAGTAGATGGTAAAACTGTAGAGATGTGGAAACCTATTTACTTTCAATAATTTAAGTAATTGTAGCTTTAAATTATGTTTCGTCTTAACATATTCTGCATCCTGTTCTGTTACAACTCAGGGTATGAACGAGGTAGCTAACCTATGTAATATGTAACAACAATTACTCATTACATGCATTTTCTGTAGGCAGGATTAATATTTAAATTAGGTTCTACTTGTCTTCATATTTCAGGTGAAGCAGCTGCTTGTGAGAAATCTGTTGCAGGTTGGATACAAGGTGCCTATTGGAATTGCTTATTTTTTTGAGAACAAAACAGTTGCTCTTCTAGTTCAGTATTTATTTAAAGTATTTCACTTTATATTGAGCCATAGAGACATTACTGATATCACTCTCATTGTAAAACAGTACCAACATTACCTACATATCTCAGGATTGCTTACACATTTTATAAAATTAACATAATGTGGGGTATTAAAATACAGAGAATTTTGGAAAAACATAAGCTTTTGCCTGTTGATCTACAGCCTTCCACAGATAAAACGTTGTTTGAAAAGAATGCTGTACTGATTAGGGATCGGCTTAGAGTTATTGTTCACATTCTTGATAATAGATCGAGGTGTGCCAAGCCTCTGGAGTTTTTCTAATACAAAAAGAGCCTTTGTCAATAACCCGAGAATGATTGAAATCAATGTGATGATCGAATGAGTTAACCACGTAGG